GCCAACTGCATGTGCAGCAAGTTTTTTGTTTGTTTGTTGTTTTAGCGCAAAGCTACACAATACATTATCTGCATTCTGTTCACCACATGGAATCGAACCCCGGATTTTAGCGTAAAGTTGTTGCTGACTCAATGGGGACGCGTGTAAAGAGACTCCAGTATTGAAAAACGTACATAATTAATTAAACTGACAATGCATGCCAGATGTAAAGTACAAAATGCACGTCAATCCTTACTTCATGACCAGTCCTGTTTCTATAAAGGATCCAGTGGTGTACGCCCGGTCTCCAGTATTCCAGCTTGTAATGTTCAGCGAACTCCTGACCTTGCCCGTTACCGAAACGACCCTGAGTTGCAACCTGAGTGATCACGTGCAGGGTATGCAAGTTGATTTCTAGGTATTCCTGAGTATCCTTGTCGATCTGTTTAGATGGACACCAGGCCCCACTGTTGACTTCCTGTTCTAGCCTAAAAAAAAAGAAAAAGAAGTTTCTCTAAATAAGTATATTGTTGAAACTTCTGTTTAGCAGTCACAAACACGGTATGTTAATAACTAGATAATGTGTTAGTATTTCATGTCTGTGATATCCGTTTAGCACACATAAATACGGTATGTTAATAACTAGATAATGTGTCGTATTTCATGTCTGTGATATCCGTTTAGCACACATAAATACGGTATGTTAATAACTAGATAATGTGTCGTATTTATGTGTGCTAAACGGATATCACAGACATGAAATACACGACACATTATCTAGTTATTAACATACCGTATTTATGTGTGCTAAACGGATATCACAGACATGAAATACTACACATTATCTAGTTATTAACATACCAATTCATGTCTGTGATATCCGTTTAGCACACATAAATACTGTATGTTAATAACTAAATAATGTGTAGTATTTCATGTCTGTGTTCTCCGTTCAGCACACATAAATACGGTATGTTAATAACTAGATAATGTGTTAGTATTTCATGTCTGTGATCTCCGTTTAGCACACATAAATACGGTATGTTAATAACTAGATAATGTGTGGTATTTCATGTTTGTGATCTCCAGTCTCATATAAATTTAGTAATTATACGTAAGAAGTTTTAGTTGTCTTTTACTTACACAGTAAACTTGTACAGGAGTTGAAAGAATATGGAAAATTAATGCAACCAACTTTTTCTGGATTATTGAGCAGACAAGTTGTTTGAATTCCCGAAACCGGTTTAACTCAGTGACTCGAATGGTAGATTAGGTTTCATATAAGAAATCTAAAGATCCATTGATTACATTGTTAGAAAAAAACAACTTGTTCTTTAAGTTCGACATTAAAAAATCACAAATTTAACATAAGTGAATCAGGTTATCGCACAAAAGACAACGAACAGGGTGTAATCCCAATAAAATACTGAGATAAAGGTACAAAAACTGTACTGTTGTGTTACTGTAAATTATATTAATGGTGATATAAATGTCAAAACAACCTATGAATTCTCAGAGTCAATTAAACAGTTATTGTTTTTCCTATTCTCTGTTCTTGTGAGCACGCCTATATTCTGATGATCATTAGGCCTACGTCCGTAATGAAAAAAAGTACTACCACCTGGAATAATTAATGACTGATTAATCGCAAACAGGAAGGCAGAGGCAGCGACTAACGACTCCACTGCACTTATGACATTTTTACTGTAAAAGAGGGAGAGATAATGGAACTTTAACTATATAAACTAAAACTGTAAATGTCAATTTTCTTCTTGATTTATCCTATGAATCATGTAAGGATATGAGCCACGTTCTTTATTGTTATCAACAAAAGTAGCCGGAAACTCAGGTACTCAGTAAACGATCTGTGATGAAACGTTAGCCAGGGTAATCAGAAAGTGAAGAAAACACGTGTACAATTCATTATCTAATGCGCTCGTGAACACTTAGGCTTATGTGTAATCAGGTAACAGGCAGCAGGTGCTGCAGGGAGGAACCGCTCGTTCTAACTTTCACGCTACGGTGGCTCCCCCTCGTGACCAATGATCCTGATTGACGGTCGCCGGTTTCCTGCGATATGCGGACCGTCCCATGTGACCGATCTATCACCTGATTGCTTCCATTCGGCAGAGTATGCGGGGATTAACATGTCTTGGTGGTATGAAGAAAAATTGTAGTCCCGTGTTTACACGGACGCTTCAAGCTCATCGAATATCACAATATTGATGATTCACAGCTTGTCTTGATAGACTAGAGAAAAGTGTCAGTCTATGACGAGACACTCTGGTTTTTACCCCAAACTTCCGTTCCTGCCACAAAGGGTAAGCGTAACATTATTTGATCACACGAACCTATCGTTTATTCTGCGAGTAAAAAAAAAAAACACACAGATAATCCATCACTGTCAACGGTATATCCGCGTCTACGAACTTTCTTATAGTTTCAATAACAAACTCATCTCCTCATTATTTGTCATAATGGCAAGGTCTGTTTGATTGCCTGACGAGACTGCAGTTTGGACGAGCCTTGTTTGACACATCCATCCTTCACGTCACCGTTTTTGCTTTCCTTTCATTAAGTCTAAAGCTAATGTAATTTCCGATGATATAATTATTGTAAAAAAAAGGTTAAATAAAATAACTATAGGGGGCCAGCTGTATTTTAGTTCTACTTTCTATGTAATGATGACGTAAAAATAACACAGTACTACTGTATAAAAAATAAGACAGTTTTGAAAAGAACCGTTATATAACCGACCGTAAAACCAAAATTAAGAATGCAATTCCTACTGAAAATGAAGCACGTGTTTCGAATATTGGGTTTCATACTTTTTACAGATGTGATTCAAGACTAGACTTCTTTCGTGAATCTACAAAATTTAGTCAATCCGCTGAGTACAAAGCTGATTTTGGCTTTTGCGTTAATCACCGTAGTACGACACATTGAGAACAGCTGTTCAAGTTACGAGCACTAAGTAAAACTGGCAAATAAAGGAATAATTTATATTTTAACCCAATGTCACCTTGTGCGCACGTGAACTAAATGGCCATGTTAGAGATACCTAGGGTGCAGTTATAGTTGTCCGTAAACTTGACTTACTGATCATAGGAAATGCAATCAGCCAGCAGTACCCGCCTTTACAACAGGGGTTTTGTCCAACTTTTTTAAACTAAATAAAGATATTGGCTGTCGCTTGAAAAAAACAACCACAGCTGAGAGTGCGGAGTGTGTTCAGCAACATCGTGTCTCGAACCCCAAACCTTCGATAAGTAGCCCAACACACTAACCACTAGGCCACGCTCCGTCTGGCATCTAAAGGATTTGTTGAGTTGAATAATACTTATAAGAAAAACTCAACTTGGAAATAGGACAATTTCTGTTTTAAAGCAATTTATTCAAAATATTGTTTGAATAAAAAAAATAATAATACTGTTTGTGGCGCCATCTTGCGATAATCAGTAGCGAATTCCAAATAAGCACTCTTACCCCACCACCACTACTTTTATGCAGTGTAAAATTAACGTTTCTAATAATGATTTTAAAAGTAAAAGATCGGGATTTATATGTGCTCAGATTTTCATAGTCAGTATAGCATGCTCACTGTTTACTCTTAATTTAATTTCACTTTATACCTTTTAATTTGTGACGTCAATAATGACGACTGCTATGTGAGGTTATTGAGTGTTTTTAAATCAAGCAAAAGAGAAGAGAAAAGACAAGTAAAATTATCTATGAGTATATATATACTTCTGCTTTCAAATATATTTTGTTACTAGATAATGGTGATATGTGCAGATCTGATATTACGAATGATAAGTCATCTTTGCCAAGCTAATATAAAAAACAAAATCGTATAACCGATGTTTTAATAATATCAACACAGGAGTAGATCTTTACATTTCAACGAGAAAACACTTTTACAACTTTACTTTGTAAAACTGTTGCATTGTACAGTGACTTTAATTACTCACAATGATATTTAAAAGTCTGATTCCATGCAGTATATACACTTCTACACCAGTGCATTTAATACATACGTTCTTGACAGACAAACAAATTGATAGAATTGAATACGATACAGATCTGAAACGAGTTGTAAATAGTTTGGAATAGCGTAATATCATAATACCTCTTGGATCTAAATGTAGTACCAGGCAAACAAATGGACAGAACTGACTATGATGTCGATCTGAAACGAGTTGTAAATAGTTTGGAATAGCGTAATATCGTAATACCTCTTGGATCTAAATGTGGTACCAGGCAAACAGATGGGCATAACTGACTATGATATCGATCTGAAACGAGTTGGAAATAGCATAATAACATAATACCTCTTGGATCTAAATGTGGTACCAGACAAACAGATGGACAGAACTGACTATGATGTCGATCTGAAACGAGTTGGAAATAGCGTAATATCATAATACCTCTTGGATCTAAACGTGGTACCAGACAAACAGATGGACAGAACTGACTATGTTATCGATCTGAAACGAGTTGTAAATAGTTTGGAATAGCGTAATATCATAATACCTCTTGGATCTAAATGTGGTACCAGACAAACAGATGGGCATAACTGACTATGATATCGATCTGAAACGAGTTGGAAATAGCGTAATAACATAATACCTAATTATATTATTTTGGCACTTGTGTATAAAGTTAAAATCATAATACCTCTTGGATCTAAATGTACATGTACCAGTAAGTTGGACTTGCAGGCTTTTATCGTTAGTTATCTCAAGGTTTCTCGCCCTTTTTTTGTGGACCAGCAAGTGTTGAATACGGACGCAGACATGTCTGTAGAACTATTTAAAAAAAGGGTTGTCATCACTATACTAGAATAATAACTATATACTAAGAAGTAGTAGAGTGACGTTGGCAGTTCAAATGCTTTACACTTTTAAAGTGTTATGGAAAAAAAATAATATAGCTAGTCACAGGCGATTTTATCGAATAATCTTGAAAGAGACGGGTAACTGAAAAATAAGCGGGAATTGGTCTTACGATCGGCTTAAAAGGTTTTATCAAGGCTGAGTACATAATCGCCAGCTTTCAAGCTGTCAGGAAACGAAACTCGAAACTAACGGTATCAAAATATTGGACTGTCTAGATGAAAAGAGCGGCTTCTCGTGTCTGCGACATCAGAAGGGGGGAGTGCTCCAGAAACAATGGATGTAATGTCAAGGGAAAAGGTTTTGGCATTGCAGCTGTGGCTTCAACCGCTACATTTCCATTTTATCATTCAACTTACAAGAACTTGAAACTGGATGACGAGAAATTTATTATCTAACATGCTCGCTACTCCCACACTAGAAACCTCATTACAAGAAGATTTAAATAGATGCTCTCTGGAAAAATCCTCCCAAGGCTTCGCTCATTCGTTCCTTTCGACCTGAAACCGCTGGTGTTGCTGCTCTGCTCGTGGATCGCGACGGAGAACATCGCCACGCAGACGTTTTCCCTGCAGGGCTCATTAAGCTCTGGGGATGTGCAAGAAACGGCACGTTACCGACACTTTAGCTTGACGCTAGTATTCTTCGTACACGAAGGCAGTCCGTTATAGCATGAAACGTCTCTTTCCAATGATCCCATATACACTAAGTGATTAGATTGGTGGATATACCAAATGTCAAACGTATTTTCTTTTGTAATGTCTTGGATAAAAACTCTCCACAACTCCACCCTCCTGCACTGCCAGGATGGGAGCTAAGGTTTTTTTTTAATGCTTTTGTTTTTCACGTATTGTAGTTTATCACTTACAAACAAGTAAAGACAACAATATTAGATTGTTCTGACAGGTTTGAGAACAACAAAATACAACAATGTCAGATTGCTCTGATAGGTTTAAAAACAAATAAAGACAACAATGTCAGATTGTTCTGATAGGTTTAAAAACAACAAAAGCCAACAATATCAGATTGCTCTGATAGGTTTAAAAACAACAAAAGATAACAATGTCAGATTGCTCTAATGGGTTTAAAACCAAGTAAAGACAACAATGTCATACTGCTCTGATGGGTTTAAGAACAACAAAAGATAACAATGTCAGATTGCTCTGATAGGTTTAAAAACAACAAAAGACAACAATATCAGAGTGCTCTGATAGGTATAAAAACAACAAAAGATAACAATGTCAGATTGCTCTAATGGGTTTAAAAACAAGTAAAGACAACAATGTCATACTGCTCTGATGGGTTTAAGAACAACAAAAGATAACAATGTCAGATTGCTCTAATGGGTTTAAAAACAAGTAAAGACAACAATGTCATACTGCTCTGATGGGTTTAAAAACACGTAAAGACAACAATATCAGATTGCTCTGATAGGTTTAAAAACAACAAAAGACAACAATATCAGGTTATTCTGATAGGTTTTAAAACAACAATGTCAGACTGTTCTGTTTCGATACCCGTGGTGGGCAGAGCACAGATAGCCCATTGTATAGCTTTGTGCCTAATGACAAACAAAAAAAAGATATAACGATTATTTGACGTGGCACAATGTAATTGACATTCTCTTACAACTACCAGAAGCTCGATATTAAAGCACAAAGTCTGAAAAAGTCCTATGAATCACCAGGTGTTTTAGGATATTCAGTAAACATATATAGATAAAGAAAATTTATAGCATGCTGCAGAATGTTTCGTTTTCTCTCATTGGTTTGTTTTCTGTAAATACATAAACGTCATATCTTATTCTCGTTCTCAGGTTTCATTTCTGTTGTAAAACAACGAGTTCTTTCTCCAGGGCACTTGTTCCTCCTTCTTAAAAACCCATCTTTCAGTTTTGTTTTCTCCGATTGCCTTGTTTTTTGTTAATACACGAACGTCATTGTTTTCAGGCCTCATTTCCGTTGTAAAACAACGATTACTTTCTCCTGGGTCTATATTTCTCCTTCTTGAAAACCCATCTTTCAGGACTCAGATTATTTTCTGTAACTTATTTTTCGATATGTTTGTACTTTAATCATTTCCGTCCACGTGAAAAAAGATCTTCACCGGAAAGCTTGTGACAAACGAAAAAAAACAATTTTTGTAATATGCAAATATTCTAAAAGACCCTGATAATTATGGTTCTTTTATTTTTCAAAATTTTTAATATTATTGAAACTGAATTAGTAGTCAGTATCGATGGAGCCACGTGACCAGAAAAAAAAAAGGTGATGTTTGGAATTTTGTTCCACCTGAAAAGACACCTTATGTGATGATATATGAAGAACTAAGATACAGACATAAAAAAAGTTTACCAATGAGCTGCTTACAAGTTACTCTTAAAGTTTAGCGGGATGAACTGTTACTTCGGTAATCCGCATTCACAGCTTAAAGTGCAGAACATGTTCAGCTGGTATATCACAGGCTCGAACTTTAGAAATGTCAGCTGGTATATCACAGGCTCGAACTTTAGAAATGTGTGTAGCCTGGCATGTTAACAATTAAGCTCACCCCCCCCCCCAATAAAAATGTAAAACCTTTTCTAAGAGATACATTTTGGGTCCAAATATTGCATTGTTTTAGTAAATTTATGTTTTTTGGTTGTTACAAAACTCAGCGTTAAGAACTGACCCCAAAAAATGGAATGAAGTCATTCATTTTAAACGCTGAGATATTGAGACGGCCCCAATAGAACTCATGGAATATTCACTACATTTTTGTATAAATATTTTATTTGAGTCTTATGTTACCAAGGGCACTGTAACCAACAAAGCCATGGACTTATAAGCAGTATGATGCTTAAATAGTTAAACCAGTGTTTATAAAGTCCATGGAATCCATATGGATCCCATCAGTAATTCTAGGCCTAAATACCTTACTTGGAACCGAAAGTGTTTAAAAGTACCAGGGCATGATCACGTAAACAAATAATGAAGAAATAATCATGACGTAGTCGATGACAGACTGCTTCTGTCAGGATTGTGGCTAGTTCAAGATATTAATTCTCCACTACTATTTGTCAACACTAGAAAGCATAAAAAGTGCAATGCATTAAGAGTAGGTAGATTATACCAGGAATAAAGATAAACATCAGTAAACGTGCAAAACGATGCAGGGGCGTCGAGAGCCAGCCCAGGCCCCCGGGGTCAGTAATATAATCGGGCCCCCTTTCATTCTATTTATCAAGTTTCGCTGATTTTTCTTAAAAGAAATTTAGGCGACAAATTTCTTCATGGATCCATGAAAAAAAAAGCAGTAGTCATTTTAGCTCATTAAGTAGTATGCATTTCTAGTGAGCTTTGGAATATCCCACTGCGGGGCCCCTCAACAGATCCCGGGCCAGCTTCCCCCTTGCCTCCCCTCTCGTCAGCCCTGAAACGATGTATTAAATTTTGGAATACGATATTTATGTAATCGCATGTTGCCTGCATTTGATCTCAAAAGAAAAATACTTTGGTTAAATGGTTATTACGTTTGAAATTCTCGTATATTGAACAAGAGTTACAACATCTGGATAAATCGTCAATAACGTACTTTGATGAGACACGCTGATGCTCAAAAAAGGAATTTCCCTGTTTGTTTTTACATTACACAGAAAGTTTAATGACTAGAGTTTTTTTACAACTTGACAACTTTTAATGATGTATCTGTGAATGAAATATTTACCTCTTCAAATAAATTACTGGATTGTTTCTTGTTTTTTTTTAATTCTTAGGTGTCATATCCAGAGAAATATTAGGCCATTTCAATAATATTAAACAAATAATTTTCAAATAAATTTTTAACAGCGACACCTACCGAGCTGTCCAAGGACCAACAGCGTCGTTGTATGATGAACTTGCTGTGATATCTTCATCTTTGATGTCTCCCGATTTCATTCCAAGGGCTGTTTTACAAGATTCTAAAAATAAAATTTATAAAGATTGTTACTTTTACCTGAATTTGAATATGGAAATAAAACATGATAAAGTACCCTATCAAAGGTGGTACTAACACGTGCTTTTCTTCCTCATATAATTGATATTCGTTACTTGAAACATTTAAGCCTTTCAGATTTATTTCCTCTTAAAGTACTTCAAGTGCACCTTCGTTTTCGCTTCAAAAAACTTTAAAATACTCATCGTCTCTCTTTTCTCCCTAATTTAGGTATGGTCCTTTTCTTAAATAAATCTATTATCTTTTAGATTTAAGCATTTTCACTCCTAGAGGAAGGGCTAATAAGGTATTGTAAGAATCTCATGAATATAAATACACATTGAAAAGCGGAAACCAAAAAATATCTACGAACGACATCTGACTCCAGGTCTGTGTATAACAGGAAATGCGGCGCAACAACAGAACCGTCTCCCACTCTTAAGCAGCTGCTTTGTCCATCACTTTTATAATTGTGTATGTATACACACAATAGTGGCGTCCTCTAGGGAGTATTATCATTTCATTTTGCGTATAATTAACTTAATTTCTCACTCATATTTTCATGATAAAATGAGATAGTGGCTTGAAAACAATGACACCAGTCTCTGTGATTTTTTGTTTTAGGTATAACTTTAGATAAAATAAAAAGTGTAAAATATTTCGACAAGAGAATTAATTCATAAGGTGTTCTTTATTGATATACATAAGAAAATCTTAATTACGTGTCATTAATGATCAAGTATTTTGTTGTCAACATTTTTCATCATCACTTAATTACCGATTTTATTTTTTTTAAATATACCGTATCACTAATCTTTCATTTTAATTTTAAAATATGCTAATTCTACAAGTTTATTGAACAGTAAACCTTTTAATCCATTAGTGTTTTTATCCATTTCTTCGTTCTTATCTTACTTGAATTTTGACGCTTTGAAGACATTGTACATTTTTATTATTTTTAATTTTAGTTCGTTCAAATATGTTGAGGAGAAACTTTCATAGATAATCAATTATTATTTTTTATATTATATTTGAGAATTATTTTTTTTCCTAGAATATATAAGAGGTGCACATGAAAACCCGATAATCATACAACTCAGTTCGTTTTATTTATAGAGTGAATGAGAAGACAACGTTTATAGAATATTATTATTTTAGTATTTTCGGGTAAAACTATACACGGCTATTCCTAGTTCTTAACTAACAGATAGGAAGAAAGACAGCTAGCTAGCCAACAACACTCATTACCGACTCTTGGGCTACGTTTGTCTGTCCGAATAGTGGGCCACATTGGGCTATTTGGTGTGTCCACCGCGTGGAATCGAGCCGCGGATATTAGCGTTGTAAGTTCATAGTCTTACTGCTGTTTTACCGGGGAAATAAAGGGATTTGACCGTCACTTTTATAGCACACCTACAGCCCCGAAATACAAAGAGTGTTTTTGCGACAAAGGGACGCAGACCATGAGCTCTCGAATCTAAAGCCCAAGTATGCTAACCTCTAGGCCACGCCCGGCCATGCTCATAGGATTTTTTTATATTTTTCACGCCAATATACACGTATAAATTGTCTACTTTACATTAATAGAAATACAAAATCCAAACTATTAAAAGAAAAAGAAACTGTATTTAAAATGTATCATTTCTAAGTTAATTAGAACTATTTTAAATATTACTTAAGAATCATTCAAAGATTCAAAATCGTATCTGAAATAACATGAAGGATACGATTTTGACAAATAAATCAATTTTTTTCACACACATTCATATATCGTCATAACGAGACTGTAATCTAATTACTCAGTTATTACATATTCTTTCTTTATAAAACAACCATGGTAAAACGACCGAGCACTACTGTCATATCACAATCTACAACAACCCTTGAAATATCTGAAACCCATTAAAACTCTTTGAACTTTACCGTATGTATACACTCACTCCAAATAATGGTTTTCTTAATGGACCGATGTTAAATTATCGAGACTGATACCCAATGAGGAAGAGGATGCTAAATTTGAAGTTGTATCAACATTTTAAAGAACATTCTAGCGAAGATACACAGTTTTAAACTAGTTAGTACAGTTGTTAAAGAGACCGAAGTTTTAGTGTGCAGCATTGTAAAAGTAATCACGTGCACAGCCTGTATTTCTAATCCATAACTTTGAATTCTGGGGTACATTACCAATCCCTTTTAGTGTTTTAGCCCTTTCAATCTTAATTGAAATGATGTTGAACAGTTTACAAGAATTACAAAAATAGGGCAAAATCTTTCAAGGAAAAAAGAGAGATAAATGTTTCTAAGCGTATATTCCTTTTTTTTATTTTTTATTATCTATATTGATGAAACAATGATGAAAATGTACACCAACTGTTTTACACTGAAAAGTGGTTTCAATAAAGAAGAAAGGTTAAGATGAAAGACTTTTGAATGTGGTCGCCTTAGCCTTTTTTTATTATTTAAACTCATTTTTTTAAATAAAGTTATG